CATTTAATTTTCTCACTCCTCCACTGCAATCCCTTTTCCATTACACAGAAATAATAGAAGGTCATAAGGATTGCAATAAATTAACAATTTTGAAACTTGATTTATAATAACAGATAATAGCAATAAATGCAAGGAGCAAAATACCCTGCTGCAACTGTTCAGGCATAAATCAGTCAGAATGATAATATTCATGACTTCACATTAGTGACAAAGGTGAAGCAAACAGAAAATTAGAGGGGTTTTTTTTTTAACAGTGTCATGTTTTGCATAAAAAAGGAACTAAAAATTATCTCTGACTGCACTGTATTTTTCCCACTACCTGGCTCCCCCATGGACACAAAACAAACTTCTAATATCTGAGAACAAATGTRGTATTTAATATGGCAGCCTTCCAGTGCCTAGAGGGAACTGAGAAAAAAAATTGCAGAGGGATTATTTACAAGGGGATGTAGTGCWGGGATAAGGGTGAATGGATTCAAATTTAAAGAGATCAGGTATTAGAAAGAAATTCTTTACTGTCAGAGTAAAGGCACTGGAGCAAGGTTGTTCCCAGAGAAGCTGTGGATGCCCCATCCTTGAAAGTGTTCAAGGGCAGGTTGGATGGGGCCCTGAGCAGGGTTCAAACCAGATGGCCTTTTAGGTCCCTTCCAACCTAAACCATTTCATGACATCTTTTCAAATACAACCAACATTTTTTTGCTAGCAAATATAAACCTTGCTGTAAGTTATGAGTAGTCATCCATAGTCTCTACAAAAAGAAAACAAAAGGGAAAAATTTCTAAACCAAAATAGTTAAATTCTCCAGATGAATTTTGATTCAGTATACACCAAATATGATTTGRTATCCTGAGAAGGCAGCACTAATTCTTCACTAATTATTAAGCCTACAAGCTATATTATGGTAGCATTGCACAAAATAAAGTTTGACATTTCCTTTCCTWTTTTTTAATTATCCCTTAGACAAACAAGTCTTGCTTGAAGAGAATTATTCTGGCTCTGTGGAAAATTCTCTTCAGCTTTCACACATACATGATAAACATGTTATAGGTAACATGCTGTAAATTGCTGTATAATTGAAATGCAGATATATACATCTTCCAGACACATGTTGATATTTTTCCCATCACTTTATCACTCTGTACTGATTAAAAGTAGTAACAACTCAAAAGAGACTTCAATAGATCCTCTAAATCTRTATTACTTCCAGTGCCTCTACCAGCTACGTAAGGGAACTCCTCAGATATCTAAATTGTGTCAAAATTAATTGTGTAAATACTTGTTTCCTTATCTTTCATTTTCTGACACTAAAGTTATCAGAAAGAATATRTACTATTTGAGAAGAGTGATACATTTAGCAAGGAAACAGGACCTGGCACTTTATAAATCACTAAGGTAGTGTTGCATTCAGTTTATACAACTGTCTTTATCTGGATTAAAAATGGAAAAAAAAGAAGTTCAAAATCCTTTAAGTTATTTTGTTCTATCAGCAAACTTCTCATTTATAATTAATTAAGAGCTCTGATAACCAAGGAATTAGACAGAAGCACACYATGAAAGACAAGGTAGTTCTAAATCAAAGGCACTCCAGTCCTGAAAAGGTCATTGCAGAGGGACCATTCTAACCACACAACGCCTTACTCAACTGGAAAATGGCCAACACCAGCAAATCTGACTCCAGAATTAGGACATTCAGAATAACAAAATTGTAGGAACATCCCTGCAGGTCAGGAACATCCCTGCAGGTCTTTTGTTTTGCATTTCTCATCACAAAATCCTTTTTCACCTGCAAAACAGTATCCAGTTCATCTTTTAAAAAGTGTAGCAAACAGCTGTATTACTATTTTCTGATAAAATACCAAATTTATGTTTCCTTGCTCTGTATTCAGAATACACAAGAAATTTATATGGTAATCAACATGACTGTAAATCCTATCAGTCCAATAAGCACAAAGGCAAAGTAACAGAMGGAATCAATTTACTAAGAAAAAAAAATCCAGAAAGAGAGCATAACCCTCAGGAATATTTAAGGAATATCCATAATTTCCCTTCCAATAGATTTCTGACAGCAAAATTAGAATAAGTAACATTTTGTACTGAGTTTCTTATGCATAAAAATAGGATTTGTCATGTTGAGTCTCTGGGCAATAGCCTTATCTGTCTTCTAATTGCTGTCTCCTAGAAAATTTAAAAGAAAAACAAAATTAAAAAAAAAAAAAGAAGAAAAATTAAAAAAAGAAAGTTTAAAGAATGATGTTCTGTATAATCAGGAGCTAGCACACTTCATCCCAGCAAGTCTTTTCAAATTTGTTTAAAAAATTCCACAACCCCCCCAATGGTGTGGTTTTCTATAAATAATTTCAAAGAAAATGAAAAGTGGTAGAGGGATTTATTATTTATGACATGACAGTGTTTCTGATATCATATTCACAGAAAGCATAAAGAAAGAKGTCTCTATTTAATAGATTTTCCAGWTTTAGATTCTTGTGTACAGCTTCTTGTCTATCTTCTCCTACCTAATAAATAACAACATCGTTTATTATTGGATGAGTTTTTGAATATTGATAAGATTTAGTTCCTTCCTTTTATTTCTTCTTTTTTTCAGAAACTCATTTTATATTTGGCACAGAACTCTTAAATAAAAGAATGTTCTTTTCCTGTTTAGAATTAGTTTTTAAAAATCAACTGTAAATAATTTATATTACAATATATATTCTGGGAAAAAAATAATCTGAAATTAGGTTTAGCACTCCATGACTTAAAACTTACATTTCAGTGAAAGTTTTAAATTAGGTCACAAATGACAGGAATTTATCAGACTCAAGATTAAAAAGTTTTAAAATATTTCTGTTGAGAATCAATCTGTTTCTTCAGCTTTCTGAACACTACAATGCAAAATATTTAATACCTCCTCTAAAACTCTTTTACTCCACGCTGTCTTGAAAAGCTTGAGTATCATTTGTTGTAATTATGCCCTAAGAAAGTGTAGTTGCTATAGATTTTCTTCTCTCCATATCTTTCTTAATAACATGTTCTTGTGAATTACAATAACAGGAAGCATGATCCTTGCAAATACCAGATTTGGGCTGTGAATTGCTGTTATGACTTGGCTGACCAATGATAAAGAGAAATATTTTACCAAGCACCTCAGACAGGTACTAAATACTGTGAATAATCTTGTGAATAATCTTTCTTTGAAAACCATTACACCYGAGAAAATACAGTAAGTAAACATAACTGAATGTGGTTATTGAAGCTTTGATTCATTCCCTCCCTACAGGGATGCTTGTGAGATTTTGCTGGTGTCTCAGAAACTAATAAAAAAGGGCTTTCTTTCAATCTTAGGGATTTGGGCTTTGATTTTGTGGGGGATTTTTTTGTTGGAGGGGGAACAGTGAAGGGCGATTAAGCAATGCTAATGAAATCTATCAATTTCACCATAATTGTCTGGAAAACTAAACAAAGGGCAAAAAGGAAAAATAAAAAAAAAAAACAAAACTACATAGCAATATTCAATTTAAAGCTTACTGATCAATACTTTACATGGAATAACACAGGACAGATATAAATGAGTCYCTGGAGAGTCTGGTTCATAGCTGCCACTGTCTGAAAGCTTCATCAAATATCAGTCCTACTATGAATGCAATGGGATCCCAAATTCTTTTACTGAAACTTTCAGTCAAATTTGGTGTAAAAAGAAAGCAAAATTCACATTGTGCCAGCAACTAGATATTAGCATTGTCTTGCCATATGGATGTTTTTTACTTAGAAATTCTAATTTAGTTTCAATTGTACCATGCCACAAAAGGCTTTTTCAGCAATTAACAAGGACACCAAAAAGTTGAGCCTTTACACCTTTTTGATGTCTTTGTGTAGGCATTTCCTGCTTGAACCAATTTCTGACAGAACTAATGACCTTAGTTCTGCTACTTCAACATTTTTAGAGGTTAATTAAAGATATTATTATCAATTAAAGATATCCAAGACAGCTTAAACTAACTGCGCACAGAATCTGACCAGCTCCTTTCAACCTTCTCCATGCTCCTGTTGCAAGGAGATGTCCCTCTGTGCACCACTGAAATACACTTTTCTTCAAACACTGATTTCCTTATMCAGCCATGCTGCAGTCCAAGCACACTGCTCAGCAAAGCATGTTCCCATAGGTTCTTTGCAGCTGGGAAACTCCGAAGATCATTCTCCATGAAATGGAGTCTGCTCATCTCTCTGGTGAGCTCTGCAGACTCCTGAACRCACATGCACCATTAACTTCTGACTGATATTGCCTCAGACACATTTAAGCAATTAAGAAGTTTTAAGGCCACACTCCTACCACCTGTTTTACTCTGCTGAAAAACAGGAGAAACTTAAGCAAGTTAAAAAAAAAAAATTACTGTGGTTTGCAATCGTGCAATTGAAATAAGAATGAGGATATTGCTGCATATGACCAGTTCTTCTTGTGTCAATATGAGAATACTTTGTACTTGACTGTGAAAAAATACAAATTAGAAACAAATTTAAAACACAACTGAAGTATGTTACAAGAATATCCAGGATGTACAGCACTGGAGTTAGAGACAGTGTACTATAACCTATCACCAAAAMTAAATGATGGAGGAAAATACGTTTTTTCAGGCCACATTCCAGATACTCCTTAACTGCTAAAACATTTAACAATGTGCAAAACACATTTTGCAGCTTGCRAAAACATGTAGCTCCCTTGAGACCACTCTGATTTGTTAATTCAGATGACATTTGTGCTTAAAAAACTGATAACTGAGGAATTGTACTGTGTCATACCTTGGCATCGGAAGACAGGCAATGAGCAAGAATCTCAAAGCAACAACATTAATRTTTAATATAAAGTAGAACTGGAAGCTCTGAAGAAAGAAGAAATACATGACTGTGTTTCTTTTTCAAGCACACTTAATATTTAATACTTGTTTCARCGACTGACACGAAATCACAAGCCTCCTCCATCCCACAAATATCTGATGAGGACCTACCGTTACTCCAAAGAACCTGGTTTCATTCATAGCGTTCAGAAAAATTTTGCCAAGTTTGTGATTAGTGTAGTTAAAATCTTCAATTTTTTGGTGCTTGTTGGTGGAATTCAGATAATTCATTGCCCGCTGTAGGGTCCTGGCAATCACCCATATTCCATCATAGGCATAACCATGAAATTTGCTGGATTGTCCATCACCACGTTTAGCATTGTATTCCTTCTCATACTGCTGTGGAGTCTGCAGAGGAGATAAAATTCGGTTTTACCTCAATGTTTAATTAACATTTTACAGAGTTGCATCTAAACCGACAACTCCAACTGCACCCTCCAATTTAGAGACATGCATAACTAACACAGAAAAGGCCTCCAAAATAAAATTATTAAAGAAAATAAAATTAAAAACACACATATTCCTGACTTAAAAACTGCTGGTGAGATTGGGAAGCAGAACTAGGACAGAGAGAGGCAGTTGTGCTGCCTCACTGTGTAAAGGACGACTGCCTTTATTTTACTTTTGTACAAAAGGCTMCAGCTCAACCAAAACTGTGCACTGGTGAGCCATAATACTAGAACAGAGAACGAGTCTGTATCCCTSCAAATGAGTGTCTGATTACACTTTACAGGATTATGCAAATCAAATAACCTTTATGTGAGCAACCGTTTGCTCAATATGAAATTTTCTGAGTGGCAATTTGTCTATATTTCACAAGTTCACTACGTTCTAGACCGTGTGCTGTCTTGTGATGAGTTGCCTTTCAGTAATGTTGCCTTTCGTGCTCATTCAGCAAGGCATGAAAGGCAGAGGGAAAAAAAGATGAAAAGCAGCAAAATCAGGCATGTTTATTCATTGGTCAGAGTTTGTAAGGATTTGTTCTGTGATGAAATATTATGTGCTTTATGGAAGTACCACACATTTATATATTTAAAGCAAGCCTCACCTCCAGCCCCCTGGTTCTGAGAGGCACAAATCACCATTCAAATTGCTGTTTGCAGAACAGATTTAAATATAATAAGAGTTTTCTGTTTCTGTGTTCAACTATTTAACTTGATGGGACAAAACACATGATACTGAAGGCTATCATTCAAACTTTACTGCACATTTAATATAATATTCATACAGGGGGAAAAGGGCAGATTTGAAGCACAGGATGTTACTGCTTTCTTACCCTGCAGAGAATTATATTTGATTTTCAAATATTTAAAAATTGCAAGCTGGTGGAAAGTGGTGAAACTAACTGTGATGACTTTTGGTAGAAGAGCCCTTTGGCTTCACCTCCCTCCTTGGTGTTTTACTATGCTAACCCACCAGTGAGACAACTGATGGTATAATAAAATAGAAGGAGAAAAAATACTAACCCTTCCTGATATAGTCTTATTTGTTTTTGAGCTGAGAGGCTCAAAATCCACTCCAATATAACCTTCCATGGCTGCGAGAAGATTTTTGCTGAGACATTGGGAGGAGTTAATCCAGGATTCCCACCAAAGATTTTCATACCACCCTGGAATAATCCACTGATATTTGCTGCCATACATTTCTTCATCATAGGCCTGCAAATAAGAACAACAGAAAAGATAAGGGGCATTGTAATAGAGGTAATGAACATGAAACCAGTTGCTTTTTGCTAACTGTTTTTATCATTAATGAAATTATGGCATAATCAAGGTACACAAGAATTTTGAACAGGTTAGAAAAATTACTTGCCAATAGTGAAGACTCCTGACTTTAGAACTGAGGAAATGAGAATTCACTAAACCCTGTTTTTCTTTCAGTGGACCATTTTTCAAAAACAGAGAAATTAAACTGTATTTGAGAACTGAGGGAGTTAAAGAGAAACACAAGCAGAAGGCACAGTTTGGCACAGAAAACTCTTCATAACACAACAATTACATAAGTCATAGGACCACCATGCTACCACATTTAAGCTAAGTTACATCACCCTTATATCAACCTAAGGACTAGGTCAGCAAGCAAACCCGGATCACAGCCATCATCAAATCACATGTGGGAAATATGAACTGGGTGGCTGTGCTAAAAAGCAGGCCACAGAAACATTCAATTAGCAGCTCCTTCTGAGGAGCATGAGTGAATAGTGAATTGATAAAGTCTTAACAATTTTTTTTTTCTCAGCAAGAATTCTGTTCATGTGGAATTTTGTATTGTTGGAATACTGAATACAGCCCACCGTACTCCAAGATACTGAGATAGTTATCTCCTTTCAATAATTAGCAGGAATATATAACAGGAATCAGAAATACTTTCTTAGTCAGGCACATATGCTGTTGTACCTAAAAGCTGATCTATTCCCAAATATTCTTTTTGATTGGGAAGAGTGTTCTAGGACAAAATTAGCAAATTTTATCTCAGATGTTTCTCTCACTGTCTTGCAACCAGATATTTTTCTTTTGACATTTCAGTCAGACTCCATTTCAAAACTGCAGGTTTCATGCTTCTTTGGCTCCTGCTATAAGCAATAYTTGRGATACAAGGTCTAAGATAAAAATTSCAGTTTCTAGAAATGCATGGTGCAAGCTTAGAGTCCTTAAMAGGAAAACAGCTACATTTTTACAGAAAACATTTCAGAAAGAGGAAATTGTAAGAATGGAAACAGGACATATTAGTCATTCAGATACAACTGTTTTGAAAAGTATCCCAAAGATCATACCAAAAAAGCCKATCAGATAAGTAAAGATTAACAGCAGAATACATGAAATAGGACAGACCCCTAAATATGTTAATACCCAAATTAAAAATGAGCTTTAAATCTGTGATTCTATTATAATGGTGCCAACTCAGTTCATAACAGTATTGTGCACAAAGCAGATTTATTTGGCCCCTGGATGCAGAAGCTTTTGTTCAGCCAAAATCAAATTTCATGCTTTTGTACACAATGCTGTTGAAAGCCATGTCTAAAACAGGGTGTCTTGCATCTCATATATTACTTATTCCACAATTTCCACATAAATAGTTTGTCTTTCTCCAGCTTGTTAATTCTACCCTTCCAGAAACACATCTGCTTCTGTCCTCCTACCCATCTCCACTCCTGCACAGCTATGGAGACACTGTGTTCCAGGTCCACCTGCGAGGAAAACAGCAACCCCATCCTGCAGCACTTCCTTCTGTCTAAAAGAGTTTTCATTATACAATTAGGTCATTCAAGACCTTTCAGTGACTCAGTGCTTTTTATCTGACAGTTTTCAAATCACTGAGGACACAAACTGACACAGAATAGTGCTTTTGGAKAAGGACAACCTTACATAGCTTCCTCTGCTCTATAGAGATTAAAGTATCAAATTGTGTGTTGCCAAAAAGTATTGGCTGTGAACTATTCTGAAATTAGAGCTGTTGGAAATTTTCTGTTTGCATAAGCACTTGTACTATTTCCTGCATAATCTGTGAATGCCCTGGGAAATGGGCTGAAAATTGAAAGTTTCAAAATAGCCAGAAATTTCACCCTGGAAACAAGGGATCATTCCCAACATGGATGCCTGAAAGACTGGTTGCACTTTCACATTTCTGCAACAATTTGGTTTAACAAACCCAAAACAAACACTTTAAGAGCTGTCWGCTCTTCGTCTGAGATATGGTGGAGTGACAGGGCTTGAAGGGTAGCCTGGTGAAGGCAAAAAAAGGGAGAAAATCAGCTCCTCTAAGGCTGAGCACCATGGCAATGAAGTMATTTTTCTAGTGACAGCACAGCTGATAGGGCTCTGGCATTTCAGTGTTTGGGTCCCAGTAGTCTCATTGCAAAATAATGCTTTTTTTGACACCATTTTCTCCATGTTCATTCTGCTAACTGGAGATGCTTTCGATGTTTAAAAGATACAATTACTTGACACACATGGATCTTTCTCACTGTTTGAATGCACACCAAGGCCAATTCTTACAAGTTTCAGTTTCTATGGGGAAGAATTTTTGGCAGACAAGAGCAAGCTGAAGAAGGTTTGCAAATACTTTGTAACACCAGAACAGGATAAAGTAGTCATACATTTTCCTTAATCTTTCCATCATGTCCTAGGTAGGATGCAAAGCCCTGAGTTGCTGTCAAGCAGCCAGGAAACTGTCATGGACAGGTTTTTTTGCCCTCGTGAAACTGAATTTTTTTTTTCTTTTAAAACTATTAATTTTTGTTTGAATTCATAAATAAATGCTTATTTGCAACAAAGAGATTCCTGTAAGACACATTTTTTACATGTAGTAAACCATTATTGGCAATTTGTTGATTGTTGAAATATAAAGTTTTGACCAAAAGACCCTAATTTCTATTCCAAGAAAACATCACATTCATCCCACTGAGGTGAGAATGAATTATGCAGCTAAGATTTCCCAAAGAACTAAAATTGCTCACTGTTTTTGACACTGGTGATAAATGAACAGCTAAGCTTATTTAAATCCTTGCAGGAAATACCTGCCAACATTCACTTTGSCTTGAACCAGTCCTGTCCTGTTTTTAAAGTTTGCCACTGAATTATATCTTCCAATTCATTTATTGTGTGGATGTGGGTGTCAGTCTCTTCTTCCAAAAAATAAGGAATAAGACAAGAGGAAATGGGTCTGAAGTTGCCATAGGGGAGGTTTAAATTGGATATTAGGAGAGCCTTCTTCACTGAAGGGAATATCAGACACCAGGGAAGAGGCTGAGCCACCATCCTGGATGTATTTAAAAGATGTGTTACTTGAGGCTTTTAGGGACATGGCTTAGCRGTGGAGTTGGCAGTGCTGGGTTAATGGTTGGACTTGATAATCTGAAAGGTCTTTTACAACAGAAATGATTCTGTGATCTTACATAAACTCCTATGGATGTCCTGAGGAAACCTCACAGCATATGACTGTTGAATCCAGGAGGAGCAGTGAGGCAGACTTTAAAGATTTTACCACCTACATAAGTCATTACCAAATAATATTCAGGTTATAACCACAATCATTTAAAAAAAAAAAAAAAAAGCCTTGCACTAGTGAAATGGCATCCTCCTTTAAGAAAGTCAAAGCCTTTCTCTGGCTGACATCAGTAACCCTGGAAAATATAACAGGGAATCACAAGTGAAACCTGCCTAAAGATACACCTGGAAATAAAACTTGACATATCCAAATTATTGTGCTCTTAGACACATATCTGTAGGAGTGCATGAGTCAACAATATACTTTGTGACTAGTAATAAGCTTTCTGACATATTGTAGTGCATTAATATATAAATGACCTACTTTGAACTGCCCTCTCCTGTATTCAGTCTCCTGCTGAAACTCTCACGTAAATAAATTTATACAAGCCTAAATACATGATCTTTCAGATTTCTCCAGGCTCCAGAAAAATTCCCCTTATTATTTTTGACACTAATGTACTTTAGAAGAAKCCATCACACTCTAAACTGTTCAGAGTTACGCACATTTCCCACTTTCACACCAAACCGTAGCCACAGAAAGCTGCTGCCAGAGTTCATGCGACAGAAACATCCTCTCCCTGGAACCCTTCTGATGAGAGTGATGCCAACAAAAGCACAACCTGCCTCTCCATGGAATTCTAGGATTTCTTCAGTGGCCTCACATGCACATGGACTTGGAAGAGAATTCTAGAGGAATGCACTAGAAATTAAGGGCAGTTGCATAAATCAATCTCTTGCTGGTGTTGGATTGGAAGAAAATTCCGACCAGGACCCCTCTGTTGGGGAGATGCAGCCCAAACCCAAGTGATCTGAGGATGATCTGGGCTGCAGAAGGACCATTCTTTCATCCAATAACGAAAAAACAGGGTATTATCTCTGTCAATCCAATTTAAATGGCAGTACAAAAAGATCTATATACAAAGACCTATCAGAGAGGAGAAGAATGAAAAATAAAATAGTACTTTCCATTTCCTTTTGGATGAAAACAGATTTTGTTCCTTCCAAATATACTCTACAATCTCCTTTCCAAATTTTGCCACCAACTGGGACAGCTGCTGACTAAGAGCCAAAACACATCAGAGGCACATGTAGCACTCAGATTTTGAACTGCTTTTCCTTCCTTTGCAAGGATAGGTAACTGTCTCACTAAATGAACACTAAAAACACCCTCTGAAATTCAGATGCCATCATTACTGCTCATCCTTTATATTTACCATGTCCTTGGATTATCCAGGATTAATCTAACTATTTAGACTAGGAATTCAATACCTATTCAAAATTTAGACCACCAAAACCTGCCTCTTTGGGATTTTTTTTTCATGCAGGTACAAGTATAGACCCACATTTTAGTCCTGCTAMTTTCAATGGCAACGACAATGTGTAAGTTTGCAGCACATTCACACAAACAAATGGTGAGGATAAGGAATTTTATGTTTTCTGGTCTTACTGTATTTCTTATTGTCAAAACCCCTTTTTTTTTTTTTTTTACAAACTAATATCTGCTTTCGTGCAATACCTGTGAAATGTGCAGCAGTCAGATGGGAATGACAACTGTACAATTAGCAACATTTTCAGTAGCARAAATTATTAGTGTTGCTGAGTTAGGATGCATAGGAACTGGCTTGAATTTCTTATTCTTTGAAACCAAGACATACAAACCCCACACACAGACATTACCACCAAAACACAACTCTTGGACAAGGGTGAAATCTTGCAGTTCTATCTATCTCCTGCTACAATTTCAAATATTTCTTTGGATCTGATGTGAAGAGCAATGCTCAAGTTTGAATTTTAATTAGGCAAAATTCAATTTAATTGAGTTTTAAGGCATTTAATTCCACTACAGGAAAGTAATAAGAAGAAACAAACCATGYAGTCTATGCCTAAATTCCACTGAAGTCAAGTACAAAATATTTTATTGAAAAAGAAATGGAACTAAGCATGTGCAGCTTCTCTTTAGGATATAAACCTTCACAGAGCTGAACTCCATGAAGAAAATGTTTATGCTCAAGTTACTTTTTATTCAAATGCAGCACATTCTTTATTCGGAAATGCAATTAAATATATTTACTTACACAGCAGAAAACTTTCACAGCCATTTCCTCATCAAACTGGCCAAGGATTATCCGAACATCATTACCCTGCAGATTGAATAAAACATGTGGAAGTTAAATACAGTTGTAGCTTCCAGATACCACTTTAATTGGCCATTCAGATCATGTAAGGAGTTAGCACAGATTACAGCAGACAGAATTAACACAGAACTATTTCACCTGCTGTATGTTCAAGAACTTGAAGTACTGTTAAAGAAAAAAAAAGCTGAGGTTTTTGAAGAAAACAATTAAACAATAGTACTAATGAGAGTAAAACTGATGTTAGGGTCATATGTTAGTAATCAAAAACATTAAAATATCAAATGTTCTTCCTTGCAATATTTCTTCTACAMTTTTKCATATTACAATAAGTTGAAGACATWYGCTTTTCACAGTTTGCATGAAATAATRCTGTAAAATTAAGAAATTAGATTTGTGAGATCAAATGTCTTTCTATTAAGCCTGCTTTAGTAATTTTTAAAGGTTTTACTCATACAAAATCTTCTCTACAGCCACTATAACATTGTCAATTCCCTCTCTCCTCCCTCCCATYTCCACACATTAAAAAAAATCATCACAGTTTAAGAACCTATGACTGAAGTCCAARGACATAATTTTACTTTCATACTTAGAAATATATTAAGGAAGTCTTCCTAAATTCAGGAGCATATGTGGGAAAATATTTCTCCAGGAACAGGACTAATCTCTTCCTAACATGAAAAATTACCTCTAATATCCATAAAACACAGAATAGATATCTTTTTATGACTTCACATTACCTTTTTTTTCACACAAAGGCAGAGTTCTCAGCAAAAGCTTGAGCAAATCAAATTTTTCATTTCTTTCATATAAGACCTGTTTAGAATTACTAATAGCTCTTTCCCTCTCCAAGGAAAAAACAAGCATATGATTCAGTATAAATTTCACAGGAAAAAAAAACTAAAAAAAAATAAAAATTCAAGCTTTAATTGAATCAATTTGTCAAAGATTTTTAGTTCAGATAATTTCAGTGCTTATTTCCTGTTCAGCAGAAAGTATTATGATAGACAATGCAATAAGATATTAGAATGCCTCTGTAATTAACTGCATGAAAACAGTACCACTCTTAGCATGCTTGAAGTCAGAAATAATGTAATATGCTTTGCTCATTCTGAACCTGTGCATTTTGAGTAAGCCTGCTTCTCTTCATTTTTATATTTAGCCACAGACAGATAAAGTAATGTAAATCTTTTTCAAGTGGATTAGATTCTTTTCAAACAAATCTAACAAGGTTACATGAAACTAAACAAACAAATTACACAAATTACAGCTATGGTATTACAGCTTTGGTAAGGACAATAAATAGATTTAAGAATTACGCACAAAAAAAACCTCACCTCATCTACTATTTCTATTTTTCACATTTTAAAAATAATTTGGTTATTCTTGGAACCCCAGCTCTGAATCACTTGACTGCTCTGAACATAAAAATGCAAACTTAATATTTGAAAAAAAAGAGCAGCAGAGTTTAATTAAAAACAAGTGGCACGGCACTGAATAATTACACTTAAAATTGAAGAAATTCCTCTCCATTTTATGCCATAATAAGAACTAATTTAAGAAAACCCCAATAGATGTTAACTACATGGCCTCATAAATAATAATTCCAGAGAGCACACGCAACAGTGCTGCCCACTGGCTTGCAACATTCAGACTGATGTCATGTCATCTTTGGTGTGTGGATTCACGCCTTAAGACATTGCTTCCACCTGATTATCACAAAATTTAATACGCAATCATAGAACCAAGGAATTGMGTGTTCGAACACCAGTAGAAGGAGCTAATTTAGGAAAGTCTATACAACAGCCCTTCCTGGCTCATGCATAGTGTTCTTCCTATGCACAATGACACACTCCTCCGCCAGCCTCTTCCTCTAATTCCATTTTTTGCAATCCCTTCCATATTTTTCCCAAATTTGTTCTTGAAGAATTGCATTCAAGATCGCAAATAAGTCTAGATCCACCGGATGCCAGGCTTGGGTCTGCTGGCTCCATCCCACTTGAGAGTCATCGAGGCTTCAAATTCTGACAAACTGCACATGGCTCAAGTCCCCAGCARAGGTTTTATCTGCATGGAAAGCAAAGTCTGCACTGAAGGGTGTCAGAGCTGKGTTCATGGCAGTGCTCATGGGTCAAAGTCCACATGATGGACTCATGCAAAGAGATTCATCAGATGTTTGCTGGACATAACTTTTTTACTCCTTCATTCATACTGTTAACTGACTATAGACTAGAATGATTTCCTTGCAAGGATATACTATTACTKTTCCTTTGCATCAACCTTCACAGAATGATGAAAGTTAATACAGTGGAACTTGTTCATAGGGATCAAAGCAGTCACCCACTGGATCCCTGCAAGTGTCAAGTCTCTTTTTCAGAGAGCTGTAAATTGTCTGCATGGAGCTAAAACATTTTTGACAGAAGAGGTTTTAATTCATGGAACTAGGCAGGTGATCTACAAGATGATTAAAAACATCCCAGGGGGAAGGCAACTCCCAAAACTGCATTTACATAAAAAGACCAATGTTTAGACCGTTTGCCAGATGGTGAACTGTCATATTTACTCTTCCCAGAGATTACAGTAGCAGTATCAGCATTTAAGCTTTGCCCCTSAGTAAGAAATACATATGTTCCCATATGGACTGAAGTTCAAACAAGAAAATGAAGAACAGTTACATTCCATTTACCCATGGTTGTAGCAAACCCTGCATAAAAACAGGTTTTATGAATTAAGACTACAGCGCAGCTTCAAAAATTACTCTTTTGCTCCCTTTYTTTCATAGAGGTGAGGATATTATTTGGTTATTAAATATAGAGTGTCTTTGTTAGCACTGGCAGCTGAGTAGTACAAACCCTTAAGACAGGGAGTATCARCAAATCTAAGGTGCTCTACTGAGGGATGAAGAACAACTCATCATCATCTCTGTCATTTCTAACAGCCTCAGACACGAGACACTCTTTAGCCTTTTCAGAGTTTTTGAGTGATGCACATTATGCTGGAATAGGCAGCTATTTTTTTTCAGCCTTCTGAGCTTCCCTTCTTTGATCAGATTTTAATCTGTCTCATTTCTAATGAATAACACCACAATGTTGTATTATAAAGCTTTCCAGAGAAGGATTGCTATGATATCTCATCTGCCAGAAAAAGTCAATGTCTTGGCAGGCTCTTTATGAGATACCTAAATTGAATGGCTCAGATACTCTGTCTTATTCTCTACCACGTATCTGACAGTCAAGAGGTTATCAATAAATCTACACAAAGCTGAGTAACTGACAATAGAGGTATCCACATGTGCTGCTTTCTAAATGCTCAGATGTCCACTTGAAGAGCTAAAGATGAGCCTCTGACCTTAGCTATGGAATCCCTGATTGTGAAGGTGAACTAGAGGACGTCAATTCCCACCATCACAACATGCTGGTGATTTGTTTTTATCCTACGTGCAATATACAAAAAAGTTGGAAGCAGAAGTGTTACTGCTCGTACAATTTGTCTGTGAATGCTTAGAATTTTCAAGCATTTGTACAAATGCCTCCCTTTCTCTGAACACAAAAATGAGTTTTAAAGATATCCTTAAGCTAAAATTTACCTTTCGACTGTGATCCAAAGAGGCTGGAGTCAATGTAGTAGAAACTAAGATGTTACTGAGAGAAATCTAAAATATATTTCTGGAAATCATACCATTTTTTTCTATATTCTATTTCTATTTTCCATTTCCATYTTCCATTCTATAATTATCAATTTAATTAATTTAAATGTGTTTATGAAAATAAAAGACATTTCAGGCAAGCAGACACCAGTTTACCTYTATTAAGTTTACATGGTGAAGGAAGGAATTAATATTTTTAGAATTGTATAGCTAAATTCTGTGTCTAACATGTATCTAGCAACAACTAACCTCATATTTCTGACAAGAACAAGCAATTTTATGGATAACTGCTTATTTATTGTTTTACTAATTTGTTTTGAAGAAGAAGTCAAGAGATAACGAATATATTATCAGTTGAGTCTTCTGGTCTTCCCTGAAAAAATAACCCAGTGTGTTGTTGACACACAGGAAAGCTGGAACCACATTGCTTCTTCTGACTTCCAGCCCAAATATAAATGCTTCATATGCCTTTTTTTYCTTGTTATTACATCACTATTAATCAGAAATGTGGACTTTACTGTAACATCTACTGGAGTCTCTTCAATCCAGGCAGAAAATGCAAACTGGCTTAGACTAAACAGACTCAATTGGCTTCCCATAAAAATAATCTTTACCTATTAACATTTTAAACATTCCAGCTTACATATCTAGATTTTGAAAATAATAAAACATAGTTTTATTAACATTATAACATTATTTATTATATAAAGCTTAGTTTACCATTCTCCAGAACTTTTCCAGCTAGCTTCAGTGTGGTCTGTAGGCTCTGTAGGTCTAGTCCTACACAGCTTAATATTCTTGCTTTAATTATATTTTTTTAAATATAATTTAGTTTATTAAGAATTTTTTGTAGCCTGTTTTACATATTTTAAAGTATTTTCAGGATTGTGGCTTGATTGTGTGTCATATGTACTTGATGCCAGAAACAATTTGATCTTCACCATTTAAAAGTGCTTTCTCCTGCTGTTCAATCTTTTTTTTTTTTCATGTTCATGTGCAGTCTAAGATTCACACCTCCCATGTCTAGTTTATTGCTGCTTGCACKGCATGGTAATGCTAAAATATAGTTTTAATTTTATGAGATGCCAGAAGTCTAATAAATCATTATAATAAGAGAAGAATGAGAAATKATTTTGCTACAAAATTTATTTTTCCTTTTTTTTTGGTTATGATTCATATGCAGACGRGGTTAGCAAGGAAGTCAATCTAAAATGTGTAATGAAACTAATGGAAATAGACTCAATATTCTTGCAACACGATAATTTACCTTAAAAGGGTTCTGGTTCCAAACCTCAACAGTTTTCACATGTATGTCACTATGACTGGGTCCTTAAGTGCAAACATTAAGCCAGCAACAACTTTCTTTACTTAGTATCGCAATCAGGAACTATTAAAAGTATTTTCTATGCACATAGACTTTCATAAATTTAAGCAGGGCTAGGCCCTCAAAATGTCATTTTWAAAATCTTATTATGCAACGGAATGTAGTATTATGTCATTCTAACACAAATTCTGTTTCATTACTCTCCTTCATAGGAAAAAAAATCAYCACTCTCTCCTTTTTATCAAACAGCAACACATACCTTAAGCTTCTTTACACTTGTGCAGGGATCATTGGAGAAACTCTCAGTGTCTGAAATCTCGATGTCTTCGCCATAAAGGACTCCAGTCAGATCATTCCTCACCTGTCAGGAGTTGAGAAAAAGGCAAATCAGTGAAGCGAGACCCAGTGAGAAGGAAGCAGATGGACTGTATTTATATCTGCAGTGACAAGCAATGATCTTGGCGATGATATATGTGCCCGCATAGATTTTTCCATTTTGCCTAAGATGTGATCAAGGCATTGTTCCTCTGTGACCACAATCAACTATCAATGGCTGTGCTACCTAAAGGACTTTACTACGKGGTGAAGAGTTCACACAGAGCCCCACAAGCTGGGCTCCCAATCTGTGTCAATGGGGATGGACAATCCTCCTGGATTTGCAGGGCTGTGAGATCCAAAAAATTTGTTGTAGCCAAAATGACATTKGAGAGACTATAAGGGGAAAGACTCATCAAGGAAACGCTCACACATTCTCAAGTCCTGATTTCGGCTGGTCCTAGCATGAGTCAGCAGAGCTTGGCTCACTGACTTTATCATTTAGGGACTGATAAAGCTTAATGAGCTCCTGTGTGGCCTCCCCCTCATTTAGACCACACATCTCACCATGGGGCAACAAGTGRCACAGTTTGCTTGACAGTGGCACATGCAACCACGTATCAACAGATTTTTTCACCTGTTTAATGATGGCAAAACTGTCCTCTTTGAGCTGCCTCATAAGCACAAAAAAGCCAGAAAACATACAAAGCAATCTGGATTACCAATTTAAAGTTTTTATCCCATATAACTAGCTCAAGGTTTTCTGTCCTAATCGCTGCTGGTTTTCCTCCAGCCACATGACTGCAAAACCAGTTTCACATTACTATTCCTAACAGATAARCAAAAATAATTCTACTCTGCAACATGATCACAGACTGAAATKAAGAGAGTGGCACACCAATTTTAAGTTCATAAAATTATGATGCCATCAATTACAGTGATTGTCTATTTAATTTGTTTGTGATAACAAATAGAAGCAAATCAGTATGAAACAGGCATCCCACAGGCAAACACAGAAAATAGAAGATGGAAGATATGTGATATTCAACAGGAGAATTTAGAAGCCTGTGTATCATATGCAGATACTTTCTGATGACCCTCTGTATGGGTCATTTTCTGACAATCATCACTACAGCAACTGCCTTAATTATTCCTTTCATGGCCTCTACATCACCTTATCCCTTTCAGCCATGCTTTAAAATCACTAAGACACATTTTTATTTTGTAAACTTTTATAATGATAAAAAACTGGACATATAAGTGACTTTTTTTTTATTAAAAATTGTTTTATCTTAGATAAGCAAGTCAGAATGGTCAGCCAACCAAAGTTTGAGTTATATCCTTTATCCTTCTGGGATGGTACCAGTTTTTAAACTCCTTCTGTGAAAATGTATTCACAAAAAGGGATCAGTACTGACCCCTTTTCCTGCTAGCATGCTAGTTAAACTGAATTATTGTTATTTTATTTCCAGCAATGCCATTAACTGCTCCTTTTAACAGAGGTCTTTCTCGATACAAAAAATAATTAGTTTTTTTAAACAAACCATCAGTGATAACAAAAGAAAACAAACCTCTCTTGATCATAGTTTAGCTAATGTCTAAAATCCTTCTACCTAGTATGAGATCATTTGCTACTGACAAAAGTAATATTTTCCTCAGCTAGCTACTTTCCAAAGGAATACAACTTGTCATATGTTCTACCTCATACTGTCCTACTTTCTTCTGTACGACAAGAAGTTTTTTTAGTTTCAGATTTGCTTTTATGATATTTTCCTGACTTTCTTCTGAAACCAATTCTAGTCAGTCTTTTAATCAAAGAAAGACTAGATCAAAATTACTCAAAAACTGAGAAGAAAACAGCTGGTTTCTTAAACACTATTTAGTCAACTTAGACAATTATTAACATAAGAAGAATGATAAAAAACTCACATTAAATGTTATTAAAACTTTTAGATAGGCTTCGGCAGTGGGCACTAGGCTGACAATTATTAAAATTATACTTCAGACTGTCTACTGATTTGCTGGGATTCCATGCCCTCAGAACTTGTTCAAGAATTCTTCAACTGAGGAATTAAATTGCATATGTTTGGGGTTTTTTCTGAGCAATGCTTATTTAAATTCAGACACAGAAATTTCTTTGACATCCCCCCTGGCTCATCTGCTAGAGGTCGTGTATCTGTGACTTTCAGAGCTCTTAGGCTTTTCATTTATCTACTGATTAATCTCCCGAAAGACACACCTTACCAGATTTTTTTGCCAAAGAAGCTGAAAACCTTTTCTCTTCACTGCTGGAAGCACATATTTGATGTTCGGAAGATTTTGCCAAAAGAAAAGTTATTCTTTCCCATTATCCCAACAAGATAAGACAAGCAGCTTTATAAGAATTTAGAAGGTTTCTCTAAAAGATAGTATTTCCCTTCCAATGCTCTGACCTATGTCTGACACATGCCATCCTGTGTCCCTGGTCTGGGAGTATTTTTACTATATTTTCCAGTTTTTACTTTCTTTTTCCATACTTTTTTCACCAACCTCAGGTTCTTTTCTTCCTTTATAAACACTCTAAATATGTAATGGAACAGAAACTTGTGGTTTTGTTTCTACAGAAGTTCTTCACTTCTTTCAGATAAATTTAACTACAGAATCTTCTGATTTGGATTTAGGTCCAAAATCAGGATTTGCAAAGCCTCACCTCCAGCAGAGCTGTCATTTCCTGATGCAAACACCCCAATTTTGGATGAAATTTGTGAAACTGAGAATACAAAATGCTACATGTTTTGTTTTAGCAGATGCTTGCAGTCCTGGAAAGCGTATCACCAGCAGTTTTAGTACAAGCAGTTTCAGAGCTCAGCAGCAATCACTCCATTCCACCAACTCCAAGTAAAGAGAATTGTAAACTGCTGTGCTTCTGTGTCTTTGTTGTGTAAATAGGATAATTTCAACTTTCAGAAACTGCTGCAGAAAGTGGTAAAAAGACTGCATTATATTTTTATGGGGATCCGCAGTTGCTAGGGAAATCTTGCACCAACCATAATACAGATTCAGTGGAACTCCATGTGGTTTCAGACCCCTGATAACAATTTAATGAAGGCTGTGGCTCTGTGCCTGTTTATATCAACTTTACGTMCTATAAAGACAGCAATATTTCATTTTCCCAAAACAGGAACTACCAGACCTGACCATCAATAAACCCGGACGTTTTCACAAACCAGTGCTCAAAGACCTTAGTCCTTCACTCAGAGAAAAAAAAAWTWAAAAAATAAATCACAAAAAAGAGACTTTTGCACTGTTCTGCCTATAAAGCTAGATTAAATCAGTATTTCACCATACTATATAGTTAATCTATGCATGGTCAGCTTCAAAAATTACTGGGGTGCAAATACATTTACTCAGGAGCAAGTTCCAAAAAATGAAGGATTTGTAAGGGAAGCATTTGTCAGAAGTAAAGGATGGTCCTTGTGCTTTAGGCAAAAGAGAAGATGGGATGCAGAAGTGGCTTTTCTTTCTCATTCTGCCAGAGCTACTTTTTAATTTAGCTCATATGACTGAAACAAAGGTTTTAAAGTTTACTGCCAAGTCTGGCTGTATATTTTTTCCTGTGAAGTATATGGCAGCAATGCTTGCCTACCTCATATCTCTTGTATCAAATTTAGTGATGTCTGAGAGGAAAAMAAAGCCCCTCAACCTGCACCTGTGAGAGAAGAAATACCAGGATTTTGAGGAATAAAGAACTTGCTCTGCAAAGGAAAAAATTAATTTCTTTAATCTCTAGCAAATTCAGAGAGCAGAAAGAGCAACTAAGTGGGCTGTAAAAAATAATGAGCCTAGAGGATATAAAATTGCAACACACTCTGTGGTCTCTACCAGATGAATGTAGCTTTAAACAAAAAAAAGCAAATATTGGGGAGAGGCAGGGTCTGGCTCCCTAAGAAAGAAGGGCACAAAGACCTCRCTGGCCAACAACAGCAGGAGCAGGACAGGCTGGGAGAGAGCAGCTGATTTCAGCCATGAGGTGACACCTCYATGCAAGTTCATTGTTATAGGGCAGGTCCTGTGTAAAGCTGGGAGATCCATCCACAAGTCAGGAATGGGACCGTGTCTGGTGAAAATAACCAGGRTCAGACACAAGCCATGATTGCTGGGCTGGTCCACACCAAAATGACAGGACTGGGGACAAGCCCAGAGGGTCCTTGCCAGGCATAGCTGCCATGGAGAGAATGRATGGGAAGACARGACTGTYACAGCACCACAGGGGTGTGGACTGATGGCGCTGAGCTGGGGTCAGRGGTGAGTGGGGATAGCCCTGATGATTATCCAAGAGCAGAAAGGGCTTTTGGTGCTTTCAGAGCCTCAGCTCTGAATTTTGGTTGTTTTTTACTTCCTGCATAAACAATGTATGATGATTCCCTGCTTACAATATATAAATGACCCTGTTCCTCACAATTAAACAGAATTTGCGCACATAGTGTTTTTATTTTAGGTGAGATGAAATTTCTCACTTCAGTGAGACTAACAGTGCAAGCACCTTGTGACCTGTAGTAAATAGTTAGCATCCATTTGATCACAGTATTTCATTTTTTCGCAAGTAAATGTTATCCTTTTTTTCTGAGGAAAATAATAAAGAAAGGTGATATTACCAATGTCAATCTAGCGACGATAGTTTGGATTCAGGGGTCTCCACTGACCAGCGTTTCAAACTAGGTTTCAAATTATACATTTAAAAGCCCAGTTCACTCAGTAAATCCTAACTCTGCCAGTTACAGAATTAATTTAATAATTTTTTAGATTAATCATACTACTTTGCTTTTAACAGATATTTCCGATGACCTTTTGGTTCACTAAAGCTGCTTGTAAGTACAGCAAGCTAAATCCTTGTCGTTCAGGGCAGTCTAATCCTACCAGATGTTGATCATAAGAGATGCCTAACAAATGAAAACTGGTCAGACCAGATGGATTACACAGTCAGATGTTTTACTAAGGTTTCCTGCTGCCCAAAATATACAGTGTACTTTGAAATTTTATAYAATAAAATGTAGGACTTTCAGTACA